AAAGGCGGCCGAGTGACGCTGCTGTGCTGGGGCTCCGCTCCTCCCCCAAGAGGGACTCACCGACGGCGTCCTACTGCTCGGACATGCGGCTGGGACACAATCCCTGTGCTCAAACAGCCCCCGTGCCCCCCAGGCTGGGGTCACAGCCACCCTGCCACACTGTGCCCCATCCCTACAGGGATGGCACCGTGTCCCTTGGGTTTTGTCCCCAGCCTCAGGTGGGGAGCAGCGTACCCAGTAAACCCTCCCAGCTGGATGCCTGCAGGCTGGCAGGGCAGTCAATGCCATCCCAAATGCTACCTCCTCCCCTTAGCCCAAGGTGCGAGCAGCCGGAGCTGTGCAAGCGGTGGCGGCCAAAGACCGTCCAGCAAAGCTGTGAGGATGCCGCTTGTGCCCTCAGTGCCCCTCTGCCCACTCCCGCCATGAGGGCCAGCATTGCCGGCTCTCCTCTCCCCTCCCAGGGCCGAACCCTGCCTGTGGCCCCCATTGCAGCCCCCCCGGTGCTCCCCAGCTGGGGGACACGCGGCCACCCCCAGAGAGGTGCTGTGCCCACCAGCTTCTCACCTCAGCAGCAGGACAATCAATCAATGCTCGTCGGGATTGCAGCAATCAGTCGGCACCGCACCACCCCTCTGGACTTTATACTACCCTGCAGGCACGTCCCCCGCCCCCTCCCAAGCAGCCTTGCTCCTTCCACGACTCTCCAAGTAAACACCTCAGGTGTGTCCGGCCCTGCTCACACCCACCCGCACCCACCAGCGCGGCTGAGCATCCCCCGGGGCCAGCCCCCGGGCTACTGCAATCCCGGGGCAGGGCCAGCCCCCAGGATGGACCCCGGGGACATTTCTGGTCCCGGCGGCCCCACTCCCCTGCTGTGAGCATCCTCCCCGCTGCATTCCTTGCAAGCCAGGCACATACACCGTGGCGCAGCCCTGCTCTCCACCCGGGGGACGACTCTGGCTACCCCCACCTCCTGGAGCACCTTGATCTGGTGCTTCAGGCTGCCGGCTGGCCCCTGGGGAGCCACCAATACCCCGATTTAATGTGTAAAAGTCCAGCTGGGAAAAGACAAACAGCCGGTCAACGATTAACTCGGCTGGCCCGCTTCAAGGTCCCGCCGCCCAGCACCCCGTGTGGGACACG